TCCACACCCACCGAGCGCATTGGCGAGGAAGTTGCCAGCACTCGAAGCTGAGAAAGGCGTGCGCGAAAGAATGATTGGAATAGCCACTTAAATTGAAAGCAAGCCCTGCGAGTAGTGGGGTATTCAAACGACACCGACAACAGCGCGTGTGTCCTCGATTTCCCGGTCGAACATCAGGGTGAACTAAGCCACTGTCGACGGTTGGATCCGTGGTGATGGACGAGCATGACTGTGATAGAGTGTTCGTGATTTCGACCATCATCATCATCATCAGCATCATCGTCATCGTTGTCATCGCCACCGTCATGTGGTCGTGATCATGATCTAGACATCTACAGCTTATTGACTTACTGCTGACCTGTGATGGATCTAGTCTACGAGCTCTAGTGCCGCAATCAAGAACTATTGCGATCCTGGAAGATTTGCGACACAACAACTGGGACCACCAGCCCCCAGCCATAAATGACAGACTTCGGCAACGAGCCACACAGGGTTTGCGGGTTTGGGTCTTGGACCACGTAAAACTCTTGACACTAGCCCATCTGTAGGGGTTCACAACCCTAAAACTTAAAACCCTGAAGCCCAAACCCTTTGTGTTCAGGCGTTTCCTTGGCTCCTGGGTCTGGGGGCTGTTAGCATGAGCATGTTCCTAGAAGGGTTCGGGGGTTTTGTTTTCAGGGTTGAGGGTTTGGGCCTAGAGTTTCGAGATTCATGCTGAAGCAGCCCAGTGTTTTGAAGCTCGCGAAGGGGTGGGTGGCTGATTTGCGGCGTTGCTTGTGAGTTGTCTTTGCGCGGACGGATGACACACCTTAGCCTTTTCAAATAATTTGCAATTTCTTGTCGAGACGTGGTTTGCATTCCGAGGTCCACTGGTTTTGTGTTGCGCAGCCGGCATGTTCAGATCCAACGATAAAGGTTGAACCTAGTTTCTTATGTTCATGTCATGTCGAGGGTGGCGTTCCTAAACCCCAAACCTAATTCCAGCAGCTGTGAGGGACTTGCAGAGGGCGTCTCTGTCAGGCCGACATGTCCCGCGCCTTGCAATCCCTGCGGCGCCCTTAGAGGTTTAGGGACTCTCGTGGTGTACGTACACCCAAGCCGCTCCAAACTGTCGACCGGAAATCCATAGGCCCAAGACATTCGCAGAGACATGAACAGGCCAAAGATATGAACTCACAGCAGCAGTTTCGACATGGAGTTTTGATCCGACTGGGCTGACGGAGCCATGGTGGAGATAATGTCGATTCCATGTAGTAAGAATAACGAAGCTAGTTATGTGCCAATCTAGTCCCCTTCAGTCTGTGGGTCGTCTTTCTGCATGGCCGGATGTCGCTAACTCTATGCCGGTAGGGCAACTGGAACGAGGAGAATGCTGCGAATGTCCGTAGCCAGGCATTCCACGTACTGAGACGATCTGTGAGGCTCAAGGGCATTGGCTTAGGCATTGGTCTGCACTGCGCGTGGCCGCAAGCCCTACACCCTAAACCCCCCTGAGCCCGAGACCCTGACCCCGACAAGTAAGGCCTCGCCCCCAAAGCCCCTCTCGTCTTCACAATCGCCCAAACCCTAAACCTCAATCCTAAACCCTAAACCGCTTAAGCCCTGAAACCCTAAAGCCCTGAAACCCTAAAGCCCTAAATCCTAAACCCTAAACCCAAACCCCTAAACCTCTAAACCCCAAAACCTATAGAGAGTAGGCTTTGGGGTCCTAGCGAAAGAGAATCCTAGGACTTGGGCTCCAGACCCCCAAAGCCCTGAAGCCCTCAAGCCCTAAAACCCTAAACCCCTAAACCCGCAATTCTAGGCCCTAAGCCCCTAAGTCCCCTAAGCTCCGACGGAACTGCCGGGCTTTGCATCGCAATGCCTCGGCCATCTCAAGCCGACCTGGAGGATGCCAGCTTTCCATGTCGGTGTAGGGTATAGGGTAGTAGTAGTACTAAGTAGTACTATAGTACTACTATGATAA